TCAAGGTAAAAAGAAACAGGTGAAATTAATATTTTATTTAATCCAATATATCCAAAATATCATTTCAATGTATCATTAATATTAAAAATTGGTATATTTTCCTTTTCTTTCTTTTTTTTTTTTGTACCTAGTCGCCCAACACTAGTGTGCATTTTACACTTAAGACAATCTCTGTTTGGACTAGCCACATTTCAAGCGCTCTAAGTCACACGTGGCTGGTGGCACTGCCTTGGACAGTGCAGCCCTATGGAACACTAGTACTTGAAATGTGAGCTAAAGGGGAGGGATTAGTTCCCGAGATCATTCATTCATTCATTCCTGGAGTATGTACTGTCCCTTCCCTCAATGAGCTCACAATTCAGGGGGAAATACAAATAATCAGGCACCCACAATAAAGCGGCCATAACAGGGCTCAGCCCAGATACATAGATACGTAGCCTAGGTATGCCCTGATTATATTAGAGAGTCCATTTTTCAAAAATTCTTATTTTGAAAGAATGTGTCCATGTCAAGAAAAACAAACAAACAAACAAGGAATAATGGGTTCTTAAAAGCTTTTAAATACTCCAGTGCCAAGAAAAGGACTGCAGAAGGAAGGGCCATCCTTCAGGGGAGAGGAAACCCAAGGATCCCCGACCACAAAACTGCTGCAGAGTGTGTGGCCCTGTCTGTGAAGAGGGGGAGCGAGGCCAGCGAGAAATTTCCATCCTCAGGACAGTGCCGGCCTATCTTTAGAAGCCTGAGGCCCGCAGGCCATCTGTTCTGCGCAAATTTCCACGAAGATCCTGAAAGTCGAACATCCTAAGGGGTCTTGGCCCGGGCTTACAGAAGTTCAAGTTGGGTGGCTGACACTGGGGATGGGGGTGGGACAGGCAGAAAGGATGACACCTAAGGACGGGGCCGAGCTCAGATCCGGGGGCTGGGTCCTACACGAGTCTCCAGGTCGGAGCGCGAGGGGCTGACACCCACGCTCGGCCCCTCTGAAGACCATCTGCAGGCGGTGACCGACCGGCATGGAGACGCAAAGGCGTCGCGGCAGAAGCCGGGCTGATGGGCCGGCCTTCGTGGCGCCACACACGCTCAGCCGACTCAGGGGTCAGGGGG